ACACAAAATTAGTAAAGAAAAAGAAGAAAATGTGTTGATTGGACAACATTTTATGCTCTTTCTTACTTATTGGATCAGGTTTTGAAGTCTTTGAGGGTTCAATACAGCATTTAGCAATGTTTGTGTTGATTAAACCCTAACAAAATGAAATTAGTATATAAACACACAAAATAAATATTTTAGTTTAAATTTGTCTGTTTTATAATTATAACCTCAAAATATTAAGAACATAAAAGTTTGTTATAACACACTATAGAAAACTGCTTGGTGATTAGGCGAGGCGGGACTCCAAGGGCGCCTTGTCGCCTAGGCATCGCCTTGACAACTATGAGAGAGAGAGAGAGAGAGGGAGAGATTCTGTGACTTGATGTTGGGTCAAACAAGAAGTATTCGACCCAACAATCACTTCTTGTTCATTTTTCTCTCTTCTCCACTCCTCTTTTTTTCCTTTTTCCTTTGATGTATCTTATTAGTTATGGGCATTCTTGTAATTGTACATATCTTTTAATATATAAGAGTCTTTGAGGTGGGGTTCGACCATTCTGGACACCTCTAAGATTATTCTTGTTCTCTTCTTTTTGGCCAAGAGTGTTGACAGTTTAGTTATGGAAAGATGGTATTAGTGCAAGGAGAAGACTCTAATGATGATGAAAATGTTGATTATGAGTAGTTTTTTTTTTCTTTTTTTTTTTTTTGAGAAAAGTTAACTGGTTTCATTTAACAAGATTATGAGTAGATTTGAACTGTCAGATTCTTTTGATTTTTGTACCTTTGTTATTATTGTAGCTGGTTACTTTTCATTCTGTCCTGAATTATTGTTTTTGTTGTGTTTGATCTACCCCTTGTGAGTTTTGTTAGTCGGATATCTTTATCTACCTTCTCTTGAGTTTGTATTATCACATCCTGTTTTTACCATAAGTAGTAAGTTGAGATTATACTATAAATAATAATTATGGGAATTATTATAATTGGCAAGTTCATAAGTTATTAGAAATAATAAATTTGTTTTCCAAAGATAGTAATCACATGTCATTCTTAAATTGTTTGATTTTTATAATATTTTTTTGGATAAAGTTTCAACATTTTTTAATGTGTAGGAAGGTGTCCTAGAGATTTGCTCAAAAATCCAAGGAAAATAGAAAACTGCTTTAGTTTTAACTGTTGTCAGTGGAGATTGTTTTCTAGATGACACTTTGGCATTGTTAGGTCACTTCTATATTTCTATAGAGGTAGGAAGTGGTAGAGAAAGTTTATGTGAAGTAGCCAAGTAGGGAGCAAACACTCATTGAACATGTCTCATTATTAGTTATTTATTTTATGTAAATAAATTTGATTTTTTTCATCATTTTTATCAGGTCTAGGCCATCTCAGCTTGAGTTCCTACTTGCTTTCGAAAAGTGGTGTTTTGTTAGAAATTATAATCAAAATTTTCTTTCTCTTCTTTGTTGCATTACATTCTTTTGTTGGAATAACTTGTCTCTTTCCACCTTTTTCTACTATTATAAATTAATACTTTTATTAGTAGCTCTTCTCATTCTATGTTCCCTAGTGCATTGTTTTACATGTTACATCAGTTTTACTTCACACTTGCAGATGGTTTAGGAACCAAGGCCAATGAAGAGGGCATTGCTTACTACAACAATGTTATTAATGCTCTTCTTGAAAAAGGTGCATTTCTTTTTTTCCTGTTTTGTGTTTTTTAATTTCAATAATACTTGCATGTAAAATCTTTTTTCTTGTAGGTATTGAGCCTTATATAACATTATATCATTGGGATCTTCCTTCAAATCTTCATGAGTCAATTAGCGGATGGTTATCTGAGAAAATTGTGTAGGTTCACAACTTTTGTTAAGAAGTCAAATTTGTTTTATTTTTTTTTTCACCAGAAATTGTTTTAAAGCAAATGTTTTAATTGTTTACATGGATGTCAAATCAACATATTAGCTTAAATATAAACTTAAAATTTCCAAGGATATGGACCTAACTTGGGATTATAATTTAATTCTTTTATTATATTGTTCTTTTTTTTTTTGAGTTGTACAATTTTTGTGTATGGTATGCAAATAATAAAGAAAGAAAGAAAAGAGCAAGAGAGAGTGAAAGAACATAAATAAGACATGTATACCCCTGTTCTTAATAAGACTAAAACAACATAAATAACATATCAGCAACTCTCGATTTAGAAAAGGCATATGATCATGTAAACTGGAGGTTCCTTGACTCAGTGTAGCAGAAAATGAACTTTGGCCAGAAATGGAGGAATTGGATTGGAGTGTGTATATCTATTGCTAAATTTTCTATCCTTGTGAATGGGTCATCTTTTTTTTTTTAATTCGAGGGGTCTCCAACAGGGAGAACCTCTCTCTTCCCTGTTGTTTATTTGTGTGATGGAGGCTCTAGCTAGATTGACCAGAAGAGTTGCAGCTAAAGGTTGTTTGGAAGGTTTTTGAGTGACTGAGGGGGGAACAAAGATCTCCTTGTTGTAGTATGCAGATGACACCCTATTTTTTATTCAGGTAGAAAAGGAGTAGTTAGTTAATCTTCGGATTATTCTAGTGTGGTTTGAGTTGGTTTCAAGGTTGGGTTGGGGAGGTCATCAACATCCAGGAACTTGCTTTAGAGCTTGGCTGCAAAGTGGGGAAGCTCCCTTTCAGCTTCCTGGACCTTTTGGCAGGGGCAATATGCTCAGCCAAGTCCATTTGGGACCCAGTGGTTGAAAGACTAGAGAAGAGGCTGGGGGTTGGAAATCCAGGTATTTGTCCAAGGGAGCGAAGATTACTCTGTTGAAAGGTGTTCTTGCTAATCTCCCTATTCACTTTTTATCTTTGTTTCCAATCCCAACATAGGTGGCTGAAAGGTTGGAGAAATTAGAAAGGAATTTCTTCTGGTGTGGGAAGGATGGTGAGCGGAGAATTCATCAAGTTAAGTGGGGAAAGTATTTGCAAACCTGTTTCTGAAGGTGACTTAGGTGTGAGAAGCTTCAGACAAGTTAATACTGCTCTTTTAGGTGGTGTTAGTTTAGAATCCCCGTGCACCCTGGAGGTGGTGTTAGTGTAGAATGTTCTTAGCCATTGGATAGGCTTGGGGAGTTTATCCTGGCAAGGCTGAAACTGGTGTGCTGCCAAATTGGTGGAGTAGCTTGTCTCAGGTGCTAGGGTTAGACCTCAAGCACAACCAATGGGTGTTTAGAAGAAACATTGAACCCGGACCAATTTCCATTTATGTCCTAAACCTTGGAGATGGATGGGCAAAACTGGAAAGTTGTACTTAACCCTAGACTTGATTATGATATTACACTAGGTTTTGGATTGAACTGTCATTGATGTGCCAACTAGTGAGATCCATCAAAAGGGTCAAATAGCTGGGCATGTTGGGGCAGTTCAGGAAATTACCTGAGTGGGTGATCATAGTGATAGGATCAGCCCCTTTGTCAGACAAAGTGAATATCATGATTTACACTCTCTCTGATGGAAATCTAAACTACCAACAATGGATTTCAACTGTATTTGAAATCTGATTTACAAAATATATTTATATTTTATATTACTATTTTATGAAAGGTTTGCAAAAGGTTTTAGTCCCAGGATCCATCTAAGCACAGAGTGTGAAACTGCATCCCTGTGGGCAATGTTTTGATGATTATGGACTGATAGGTTAGGTGTAAGAGATCATTACAGGGCTGATTACCTGATGGGGTTTATCTTACATAAGTCCATAATCCTTGGGTCTCCATAAGATGGCTGAATCCAAGGATCATTTATGTGCAAATGTTGGGCCAAAGTAAGCCCAAGCTGATTGGGTCAGGGGTTTATTGCCCTTGAGCAGTGAATTTGGCTTAACCTCTACCAAAGGTGGGGCCAAACCCTTATGGACTTGTGTGAGACTTTTGTGGGTTCGACGCCATACAATATCCAAGCCCAAAGTGTCCATGCAACACCTTGGGATGTGAACCATTAGAGAAAATGGGCCTAAGGCCCCATTACTAATATGATTAATTAAGTGATTTGGGTTGAAAATGGGCATGGATTTGGTTATGGAGCACCCATTATCTTAAGAAGAGAGTTCTTATCAATTAAAGATTTAGTCCTAATCCTTAGGAGAGTGCTTTATATAAGGGACTAAGAGGGAAGGGGTGAATTTACCAATTTTCTCTACTCTCTTGCTCTCCTCTTCTCCCTTGCCTCCTAGAAACCCTAATTCGACCTAGTTGTGATAGGGGCTGATTTCCATCAGTCTTCTACTGTGTTTTTGCAAGAAAAACATTAGAGGATATTGGGTTCACATTCCCATGTTGATCCAAGCAAGTTGGAGACTGGTTTTGCTTAAACCATAGTTGTCAAGGTGACGCCTAGGCGACAAGGCGCCATTGGAGTCTCGCCTCGCCTAATCACCAAGCAGTTTTCTATAGCGTGTTATAACAAACTTTTATATTCTTAATTTTTTGAGGTTATAATTATAAAATAGACATTTTTAAACTAAAATATTCATTTTGTGTGTTTATATACTAATTTCTTTTTGTTATTTTCTTATTTGTTAGGGTTTAATCAACACAAACATTGCTAAATGCTGTATTGAACCCTCAAAGACTTCAAAACTTGAACCAATAAGTAAGAAAGAACATAAAATATTGTCCAATCAACACATTTTCTTCTTTTTCTTTACTAATTTTGTGTTTTTATACACTAATTTCTTCTTTTTCTTCCACCTTTTCTTTTCTTCTTTTTTCTATAACAGAAATAGAGGTTCAGTCCCTATATTTTTCAATTTTTTTTTCTTTCTTCTTTTTCTTCTCATGAATATGTTGATTTTCTATACTTTAACATGAAGTTTATACTTATGAAAATTATGGATATTTATTAAGGAAATATGATTATGGAACCTAGGGAACTACCCTAGGATACATGTTTTTACGTAAAAAAATCCATCACATAGGCGACTAGGCGCTCCCCTATTGCCTAGCCTCACCTTGGCGCCTTGAAAACTATGGCTGAAACGATGTTGTTGAATCGGCTTCATGTACACAATGCACCACCTTCAGTTGGAGGCCGATTTTGGGACTGATATTGGGCATGAACTATCACTCTGGGAGCTGTATATTGTGGTGTCCGTATCAGGTATAATCAGTTTTAATTTGGTTTCAAATCTGGTCTGATTCAGTGCAAGATCGATCCTGAAATTTCAGATTTCAAAATCACCGGGAAATCGGTTCCCTGGTTGGGTTAGAAAAATTTTAAAAATTCAGCCAGTCACTAAACTTGGTTCGACCATGTGAAACTTGATTTCTAACCCTTCCCAACATATGCATGATCCGATGACCTCTTACATGCAAGTTGTCAATAGAATTCTTGCATATTTGAAGGAATGTCCTAGTAAATGGATGCTATACTCCAACAATGGGCATCTGAAGGTTGAGGGTTATACAGATGTAGATTGGGTACGATCTATTGATGACGGGAGTTCTACATTTGGCTACTATACTTTAGTAGGAGGCAATGTGGTTTCATGGAGAAGCAAGAAACAACGGATTGATGCTGGTTCTAGTGCAAAGGCAGAGCATAGGGTAAAGACACATGGACTGTCCAAGTTTCTTTGGTTAAAGACTTTATTGACAAAAATGGGAATTTAGACAGATACTCCAATAGGACTTTACTGTGACAAGCAAGAAGCTATAAACATTGCACATAATCTTGTGCAACATGATTGTTCAAAGCATATTGAAGTAGACTGAGATTTCACCAGGTAGAAAATAGCCAGTGGAGAGATTTGCCTACTATTTGTGAAGGTAGGAGACCAACTTGCTAATTTTTTTTCGCCAAGGGAGTCCACAATCCAAAGTTTGGCAGTAATTTAGGCAAGTTGGGCATGAGAATACATTATATTGTAAGGGCTTTATTGTCTTTATCCTCTTTTGTATTTGGGTGCCCAAAGAAGGGCATTATTGTAATTTGTTCTCATAGTAGAAATATTATGTTTGTGGATGTGAACAGTAGTCAACACACCACATTTGAACAAACCCTCATTCTCTTCTTCTTCTTCTTCACCTTTCATTTTCACAACTCATCCAATCACCATATAATTCTCCTGCATCCATTTTTCATGTGTAGGATCTTTCTCATCTGGTTTCTTACTGCTGCCTATAGGATAACCAATTTTCTCCATACTATAAACATAAATCTTTATAGATTGACCCAATTGTAAGTAATTGTTTCCATTCAACCTTATTGTAGTTGCAACATTGTAGAAACTGTCTATTGACCCTGTTGGACCAACCCCGAACCCTGTGTTCTGCTTGGATTCACCTCCATATTGCTCCATTGTTCATTGAAAACAAAAAACTAGTATAATCAACCTAGAAACACTGAACTATAATCAATCCAACACCTCAGTCTCAAGTTTCACCTACCCGGGAACCCGTGAGAAAGAGAAACTGCAGCCACTTCTGGCAGTCCTCCCAGATCACTGTCCAACAGCAGCTGTCCTCTATAATGTGTAAAAAGGCACCTACACATCCCCAAGCGCCAGCCCCAATCTGTCTCTTTATCCCTTAATTGGAATCAGGTCCAATTTCTCCAGTTGATATAGGTCTTGGGCAGAAATCTCCAGGAATAACTTCTGGGCATGAAGATTGCAACCAGAGATCTCCAAGAGGCCTCAAAAAACTTGGTGACAGCATAAGAGAATGGCAGCAACTTATATCCCCACACACCCTGTTGATCCTATAGTGTATAGTGTGAGAAAAGAGAAAAAAATGAAGGGACCTACTCTGATACCAAAGCGGAAACCAGAATAGCAATAAGTTAAAAGTTTAATTGAAGGAAAAAGGTGGGAAGTCAGGGAGGAGAGTTCAGTTCAATGGAGGAGAGAGAGAAGAGGAAAAAAGGGTTTCCAAAGAGAGAAATTGAACCTTCTCTCAACCTCGTCTAATCTTCTTTTATTAACTCTAATCACAATTAAGACATAATTACAATGATGCCCTCAGTAGGGGGGCTGAACTAAAAGGTCTTAAAATGACAGCTAAGGCCCATAATGACTTGGGCTTATAAACATAAAATAACAAAGCCTGAAGAGTTTACATTCAATTTCTCTGCTGAAATGTATGTCTCCTAATATATTTGGTCCTATCATGCTGGACAGGATTATGAACTATATTAATTGCAGCCATGTTGTCACAGTACGGTGACATGGTGCTAGTAACATGAAACCTCAACTTGATTTAGACATTCTATACCCACAAGAATTCAGGCACACCATACGCCATAGCACAGTACTCTTGCCTTGGCACTATATGTAGCTACAACTGCCTATTTCTTATTTCATCAGGTCAACAAATTACCACCCACAAAGGGGCAATAACCAGTCGTAGATATCCTATCATCAACTGAATTCCAGTCAGCATTATTGTGTGTGCCTATACTCTCAAATGGCCATGTTTAGCAAAAAAGATACCTAGTATGTTTTACAAGTTTACAGAAAATGACTGTTTGAGTTGACAAAACCTGCAAATCCAGCATTGGAGTTTCTTAGTTCCAAGCAACATTTCTATCCACTTTCAATGGGTGCTAAATATATGCTTTTTTAATAGCTTTCACATGCAAAAATGTTATCTCTTTAGAGAATGGAAACTTTGCAGCCACCCTTCCCTGACAAGTATCTGTCTGTATATGTATTATGGAATGCCTCTTTCCACTTCAATTTGATGCGGTTATGACTTAAGTATTTATTTGCTTTTTGTAAAACATACAGAAAATACTTTGCAATATATGCAGAAACCTGCTTTGCAAGTTTTGGAGATAGAGTGAAGCACTGGATCACTATTAATGAGCCACTCCAAACCTCAGTGAATGGTTATTGTACTGGAATTTTTGCTCCTGGAAGAACTGAGAATTCATTGACAGAACCATATCTTGCTACACACTACCAACTATTGGCCCACGCAGCAGCTGTTTCTGTATATAGAAACAAATTTAAGGTATCAACTATGATTTTTTTGTTCTTTTCCTGATTAGCAAAGAAAATCCATTTATTAAATTATTAATTACTGGTTACAGTACAAAGACAATCCATCATATATGTGACCCAGGTTACCACAGATTACAACATTGCCAAAAATAAAGTGGGTCTATCAACCCCTTGCTTTGCTAGCACATCAGTCAACCCATTTGCTTCCATTTTCACCCATCCAAAACTATAACTAAATTTCTTTGCAAGTAGGTCAATTTGTCTGAAGATAAATCTGAATTTCCATGGTGCTGATTCAATTTGCTTTGCCCAAGTTATGACCAGTAGTGAATCCCCTTCAGTTTTCAGTTCTCTTGCTCCTAACTGCTTGGCAAGTTTCAAGCCTTGCAGGAGACCCTGAGAACTGTGCCACTACTACTCCTTGATTCCAAAAAAGTCTCCCAATTCCTGCTCTCCCTGGATTACCAAAGAGCTCCCATCAAAGTTTAGCTTTAACTTATTAATCCTTGTGGTTTCCATTCCATTTTTACATTTTCTCTATGTGTTTCTCTATGTCAACTGTAGAAACACTCCTGAAGAGTTCTAGCGTTTTAACCCAATGTGCAGATCTGATTTTTATGGCTTCAATCACTTCCTTCTTTGACTTGTGTTTTTTCATTGAATATCCTTTGATTTCTTTCTTCCCATGTATTCATTGATCTTTGGAACAATGCAAATGGTTATTTGCATATATTCTAATGCTTATTGAGGGACTCGAATGTGGTAATGCACTGGAGTTTTTTTTTTGTAAGGTGGCTTTCATTTGGTAACTCATTGCTAAATGGTTATTTGAATCTTCCATGGTATTTTAATCATGTGATTGTAGAGGCTTATTCATTAGCAGCCAGACAGAACATCTTATTTCTGATTGGATATCAAAATTGGCTAATGGTATTTCTGACGCAATGAGCAAAATTGATAGATTTGAGTGGTCTAGGGACATATATTATTGATAATATTTGGTGGCTAATGTTCTTTTGTTTTTTTGGGGTTGTGGGCCCCACTATATTTGGTAAAATTGTTTATATTTATCTCCCTTTTCTCCTGTTCTTTATCCCTTCATTATTAGTAAAAGTTGACTTTTGTTGAGGGAATTGATAACTAAAAATGTAGAAAATAAGGGAATTGCATTTTCTTATTACATCTACTACCATATTAGGAAAAAAGGAATATATCCAATAGATGATTGGTTAATCTTTCCTATTAATGAATTTCTATCATCTAATGCCTCAGTATTTTATTTCTCTGTGGTCATTGTTTCTTGTCTGGTACAATATGCTACCTTGAAAATTTATCATTATTTTGACAAAACTACCATTGTTTCACAAGTACAACATGCAGCTTTAATTTTATTAAACTGGCTAACTAATAGCAAATCAAGTTTTTTTTTTTTTTTATGAAAATGTCTGACCAGATTACTTTTGTCATTTCCGTTATTACTATTTTATGTTAACCAAATATTAACACTGTGGAATAAAATAATTATTTGTTAATTTTCTGTATTAGGCCAATCAAGGTGGTGAAATAGGCATTACAGTTGATTGTGAATGGGCAGAGGCATTTTCAGACAAAACGGAAGATAAAGTTGCTGCAGCAAGGCGCCTTGATTTTCAGCTTGGCTGGTATTTCTTTGTTAGAATAAATAGTTTTATGTGTTGTAGGTGCTGCAAGTGGCAAATATGTCCTTTTGGTTGTTTTAAATGTTGCCCTATATATATTAAATAAATTCTGGCGCTGCCAGAACTGTTATTGGATCACAACTTTTCTTTTTCTCTTTTCCCTTCTCTCTTCTCTCTTCTCTCGTTTCTCTCTTTTTCTTATTTTTTCTACAGTTTTACTTCTAATATGGTATCAGAGCAAAACGACTGGGATTAAGAACAGATTGGCCAATTCTTCTTGCTGTCTTCTTCAGATTGAGATGAAAAGGACCAACTTTCGACTGATACAGCAGAGCTCTTTACCTCTTTCTTTTCCCCCCTGGTCGTGTGCCAGCAAAAAATAGAAACTGAAGTTGCTGAATGCTGTGAGGAAGTGTGTGTTAGGTTTCTAACCTTTTTCTGTAGATCATGTGATCCCTGTACCTAAGAATGGGAATTCTGTAGGTCACAAATGACCTGTTTTTGACTGGCAGCATTGCTCATGGTCCCTCCTGGTGGTTGAGGTGATAACATGGTCTGGAAGTGTGACTGAGTCATTTTCAGCCCTAAAAGTAACCTAAAATTTGTTTTTTGGGGGAAAAAAACAGAGCTGGTTTGTGTCCAGACTGCAGTGGGTATATGTGAATTGTAGTCCTAGTGTGTTTTTGGGACTGTTGTGTCAGGAGAGACCCTTGGGTGTGTACTTGGAGCTGAATAGTGAACAGAATTATGTCCTCTGAAAATTCTGCAACTTCAGGTGTTAGTGTAGGTCAGAATGGAATGAGTGGGGGATGGATATGAATTTCCCTATGGCTGTGATTCCCTTTCATGGATTCAATTGCCTTGAATGGTCCAAGGGGAATTAAGCTCTACATCACTGCTAGGGAAAAAATAGGGTATATCAATGGTAAGGTGAAGGAACCAAAGACTGGAAGTGCTGTACATGACAGATGGGATCAAGAAAATAGTATGATGATGTTGTGGCTCTTGGTGTCCATGCTGCCACGAGGAAAACTTTTATGTGGGCTGAAACAGCTTGTGAAATATGGGAACAAGCAAAATCTACGTATCCAGAACAACGACACTATGTAAAGATCTACCAACTGCAAGCTGAATCATCCACTTGTAAGCTTACCAGTAAGGTAAGATCCTAGATTAAGTAATGAAGTGACCCTCACTGTCCCTTGAAAATGATAGGGACTGCATGGGGTTCTTGTATGATGTGTTGTGGGGTAAATCTGCTCAAGTTTCTCATCTATATTCCCTTGTATAGAAGATCAACTTGGCTACTTTCCTAACCTCCACCATTGTTGACCTTGAGATTGTGGTTTTGATAGAATTCTTAGGGATGTTGAAGGGAAACTTATCCCCTTTTGATATCTATGAAGTATGTTTTTCTTGGTTCTAATGCTAAATTGCTTGCAATCATGGTTAGTAACATCAGAAATATTTGGTGAAATTTCCCTTATATATCCCCATTTTGCTAGGTGGCAATACAAAATTTTCTGGGAGTCTTTTTTATCCTAATATCTTTGACATTTTGCCAATACTAGTGATATTCAGATTTCATTGATAAATTATATTTAAGGTTTATAATTTTAGACTATTATTAAAGAATTTTCAATATTTCATTAAAATTATTTTAATTTAAAAAAATCTTCCTAAAAGAACCAATGAGGAATTAGTGATTGGAAATTTGACTTACCATTATGATACACCACTTAATATGTCACAATAATTCAAAACAAAAAGAAAAATGCATACAACTACTAAAGGATATTTTCAATCTAATCAATATAGTAACAAAAAAGCAAAAGTCAAAATGGCAAGTAAATGACATATTTAATGAAGAGAAGATGGCTATAAGACTAAAAGGGAGGCAAAGAGAAAAATACCTATTTTATCTTAAATTTCTCCTATTTGATTTATATAGTTCTTTGCTATGGTTTTTTTGAGCCTTAAACGTGCAATTATACTTCTTCTAGCGATTCCTCTAAGGTTTATTTATTAATTGCATGTTTCTAGAAAAAAATTCTTGTTTTTTAGATATTCTAAGTGACTTAGAGAAATTAGCAAAATATCTTCAAAGTTTTCCCATCTCTACATAGTGAAATGTCCATTGATATCGAAATTGTGGACCATGCTTACAGTAAAATAATTTTACACTCAGAAAGTAGTGAGATCTTTCCCCATTATTCCATCTTGTATCAGTTGTCGATCAGTTGAGCAACAATTATAATTTAAGAACTGTAGATTATGTAAACAGAAAATCTGGTTTACACAGAAGAAAACTAGTAGAGGAAGAGAGGAGAAGAAGAAAGGAAAGAAAAATTGATGGGCAAATCATGGGGTTCGATTGGAGACCCCCATTTGTGTTATACTTGTTTAAAGATTGATGAAGTTACATGTCTTCCCTTAGTTGGAAGCATAAAAAAAATCAATTGAGAGTATAAAGAAAAGAATATGAGAAAAAATAGAACTAATAAATAAATAATAAAAGAAGAAATAGGAGAAGAAACAGAATAATAAATCATTCTTTTCTACACTCTCCCTCAAGTTGAGCATGCATGTCAATTATGCCTAACTTGCCAAGAGTAAATTGAAGCATAGTCTTAAAAATTTCTTTAGTGTATATATCTGCCCATTGTTGATCTGTCCCAATAAATGATAGGCATTACATCACAGCTAATGGTAATAGCTACCTGGTTACGTAGTATAGCAATAATGGCATCTAAAACCATGCCCAACTCCTGTAGTAAGGATCTTAAGTATAATCCCTCTAATAAGCCAGCCATGGCACAATATTCTGCTTTAACATTGGATCTAGCCATCACATTATGCTTCTTGCTCTTTGAAGGCACCTAGTGATTTAAAAGGTGTGCCTCGGGCACGCCTAGGCGCATATCCGAGGCGCATTTTGGGGTATGCGCCTCGCCCAGGTCCTAGGCGCACCTCTTTCAAAAGGCGACTCATAGAATCAAGAATGCAATGTGTTTTAGATCACATTAACTACTTGAAGCAATGCAATTAAGGAAAAAAAGAGATTGTGGGTTTTACATGCTTGAAAATGCTTTATATGTTTGCTTTTATTTTTAAATTTTCATTTGAATACACTTTACATGTTATGTTTATGTATTTTAATTTTAGATAATAGGTTTTTTAAATCATTTATTTTAAAATTTAAGTTTATGTTTTTATTAACATTTTGTTTAATATTTTTGCATTTTTTTTTAACTTTTGGCATTTTTTTTATATTTTTTAGCCTTTTTTTTTGTAATTTTGCGCCTTTCTTAAAAAGGTGTGTGCCTCGCCTTGCGCCTTGCGCCTCAGGCGCAAATTGGCCCTTGCGCTCTTTTTGCGCCTTGCATTTTTAAAACATTGTTATGTTTCCCCAATAAAAGCACAATATCCTGAAATGGACCTCTTATCATCAATTGATCCAACCTAGTAAAAAACAATGTAAATCTCAATCTTCAAGTGATCATACTGAGTATAAAATCTCAATTTCTTTTTAGATATGCAAGAATCCTCTCAACTAAAACCATATCCGTGGTACAAGGTGCACACATGTACTAGTTCACCACATTAATAGCATAAGATATATTTGATCATGTTATGCATAAACAAATAAGTCTCCCAACCAGCCTTTGGTACATGGAATGATCCTATAAAATCTTCCTCTCAAAAATCTTATGTCTAGGATCAGTAGGAGTGTTTGTAGGATTTACATCTATTTTTTTTTTTTGGCATCTCTAAGTAAATCTAGCACATATTTCCTTTGGGAGATGTATGTACTATCCTTAAAGCTAGCGACCTGGATGCCAAGAAAGCATCTAAGCTCATTGGAATCTTTAATTTCGAATTCTATGGCAAGGAATTGCTCAAGATGATCAACTCCACCAAAGTCTCTTGCTATTACTACAATGTCATTCACATAAACAATTAGTAATTAGATCACCATTGTTTTTAAAGAACTAGGTATGGTCAAACTGAGACTGCTTAAAATTAATCTTCTATAAAGCTCTCCTAAACCTATTAAACTAGGTACAAGGAGATTGCTTCAAGCCAGACAATTCCTTCTTGAATCTACAAATTGTACTATCTCTCTCCTTGGCATAAAACCCTAGAGATAAGATCATATAGATCTCCTTATTGAGATATCCATCAAAAAAAGCATTCTTAACATCAAACTTCAACAATGACCAATAAACTGGGCTCCTAGACACAATAGAATCCAAACAGATGACTTCTTAGCAACTTGTAAGAATGTCTCATCATAATCCATCTCATAAGTCTGAGTGTATCCCTTGGCAACTAACCTGTCCTAATACCTTATAATTCTCTCACCTGACTTATACTTCATTGTGAAAATCCACTTGCAACTAACAGGGATCTTCCCCCTTGGCAATTAGTATAACGCTTGTTGTACAATATTCTTATTATTTTATTTGTTCTTTTTATCTTTCAGCCCTATAAGGGCATTCTTGTAACTGTACATATCTTTTAATATAAAAGGGGCTCTTTGGGGTGGGGGTTGACTATTCTTGACACCCCTAAATCTTCTCTCTCTTGTTCTCTGTTTAGTTCACATGATATCAGAGCAGGCTGCTCTCTGATCCAGTTCTCTTTTTTCCTTGATTGGTTTGAGAACTATCATCATTGCCGATTGGTTATGGACTGTTTTGATCTTTTCAGGAACCACTCTCTATATTCTATGCATCTAGTAAGAGAGATTTCATTAGATCTCTCTCGTTTGACATCAGTCTGCTGTAAGATTTGAAAGAAAGTGTTGCCTAGCCCTCATCATATTCTGAATTTTTCATTGAGATCCGTGAAGTTTTGAGAGAGATCTATACATATCTTCTGGGCGGCTGCGTCCAGACTTTCCTTTTCTGGACTGTGTATCCAGTTTTTCTCCTATTGTTTTATCTTGGACAATCTTTGGTGACAGTAAGAGGTTTCTTTTCTCAGTTTTTTTGACTCTC